TGAAAATTACGGCGGCACGCAACTCCCCCCCCCCCCAAACCCCCCGCCCCCCCCCAAAAAAAAAACAACAAAAAAAAACGAAACAACAAACGGCTGTTATGCTGATGTAGTTACATGATCATCGTTGCAAATTCCAATGTACTCCAAAGCCCAAAGACCATTTATTATGTATGGTGATAGCATGTTCTTTTTTCAGCTTTTGTTGGAGTCACAGACAAGGCATCAACTGGTGTAGCCCCAATTACCGTCAATGCTAGTGGTAAGATATTTTAAATAGACATTTTGTCATAACGATTTCGATCAAATATCGTAGTTCAATATTGATCAAACGTTAATACAAGTCTGGCTCACAAGCCTTGACCGGCAGATTTTTATCGCTTAAAAATTTAAAAGTAGTCGAAAAATAAATTCGATAATTTGGTTGGATAGCTACATTGAAAATTAGCCGCAAGAAAGAAATCGATAAAAAAATCGATAAAGTATGGCTGACTTAATGTCATAATGCATTTATTGTTTCAGGTGAAAATTCCATCGTGATAATCAGCGGAGCGAACATGTTGCTGACAGAAGAAGACGTCAAAGCAGCGAAAGATGTCATTACATCAGCTTCAGTTGTCGTCTGCCAGTTGGAAATAAAACCTGAAGTGACACAGCTTGCCCTATCCATTGCAAAGAAAGCTGGAGGTAAGATGAAAATAAAATTGACTGGAGAAAAACAGATTGAAACTTCTTTGGAAACGACATACTAGCCGATTAAGTATTGCTTCAGTTCGTTAATCAGGGTTCGTAGCGGTCTTTGAAATCCTTGAAAATCCTTAAAATTTGAATGCAGGTCTTTAAGGTCTTTGAAAAGTCTTTGAATTGTGTGATAAAGCGAAGAAAATCTTTAAACGTCTTTAATTAAATTCTTTAGTCATCTCAAAAAAATTTACGTGACATACCAAAAAATTTTCAGGACATATCACATTTTTTCCAGAAAATGACAACGTACTAAAAAGTTTTCCGGAGATATCATATATTTTTTCCAGAATATTTTTCCGGACAAATCAGAATTTTACCAGAAAATAACAGAATTTTTCAGGAAATACCAAAATACAAAAACAAATCCAATCATAAATCAAAGGCCATTGGGCAAAAAATGCAATCTAAACGACATTTTTTACGGAGGTAAAGGGCACTTTGCTCCCGGAAAAAGAGCACTTTTGAAAAGTTGGGGGGGGGGGG